AAGTGCTTTATAAAAGTAATAACACTATTATAGTTTTATTACTTTATATAATGCAGTTAGTGACGAAAGTATAATTACTTTTGTAGTCGTAAGTTAATTGTATGTTTTGTTTTTATATTTTTCTTGCTAACAAAATTATTATAATTTGTTCCTTGAAAACAAAATACACAGTTTTGCATAAACTAAAATTTTGAAGATCAGATATTTTTCCAGGGTTTGCAAATCGCTATCGCTAGATTCACCCCTTGATATACACTTGTTACACTAAAATTATACAAATATATTTTACAAAAAGATGACAATTTATATTTTCGCTTTACTCTTTAAAAAAACAAAATATAGGAAAATCTTTCTTTTTAATGTTTAAAACTTTTTTTTGCTTTGACTTACTGAATTTTGTTGCCGAAAATAATAAGGACTATGAAGAAACAAAAATAAAAACAGTACACAAATCATTTAAATTATTGTTTCTATTATTTTCTATTTAAGTTTATTCTAAATTCCTATTTTGTTATTTTGTTATTAAAACTTTGTCAGCAACGCATATAAAAAAATTTGCAAATGGCCATGACCAAGTTATCTAAAATAAAATCACGCATGGTCATACAAAACGAAAAACCGCATGCCTTTCCTGAGAAGGCTTGTAGTTCATTGCTTAGAATGCCGTGCTTTACCAATGAAAGAGTCAAGTTTAAATGATGTCCAAAGTAAAAAAAATATTAAACACAAAAAACCATACCCACCACCTAACTGTTTCAATATTTCTTTTAAAAATGTTTGTTGTCTGGGAAGTAAACTTCTTTCAGTTGAACCTTGCCTCTTGCAAAATTTATCAGACTTACTTGCTCTTTATGGGACTAATTTAAATATTAAAACTATAAAATAACATAAACTTAAATATAGAAAAAAAATTGAACATAATTTTGAAACCTAATTGTAACCACCCAAAAAATGTAAAGCTCTTTTCTATTTTCTTTGAAACCTCTAATAATCTTCCACATTTTATCAATCCCCCTCCCTACATACACAAAATTCACCAGAAAAAATGCAACAGATTTTCTGTAGGCTATATAAAATATCAAAAACTTTTCTAAATTTTTTCGAAATCATGAAAAACTTATTATTAAAACCTAAGAATGAATTATTTTTCAGACATCAGTTAGCTCCACATAAACAACCATCTGAAGAATCTATTAATAAGCTTTTGAAAGCTTTACGTACACTCAGTAAAGATGGCAATTTTAAACAGGTTTCTGCTTCAGAACATTATGAAGAATACATTTGTGTGTGTTTTATTTATAAGTGGTCTGAGCTCTCACCATATTTATAAATGACTATAAGAAAACTCTACTCTTAAACTTACTGAGGCCTTTAATCAAGCTCGTTCATAGGAAAACGCTCAAAGAAATAACGAAATGTATTCACACACATAGAATAGCAATGTTGTTACAATTAATAAACATTCTAAATGTACTACTGAGCTTGCTTCGGTTTCTACTAAGCCTAGAAGACTTTGCTATTTATTTGTGGAAGCAATTATCACCCTCGACAATCATGTCCTGCCAGAGATGCTGAATGTAACAATTGTTGTAATTGTGATAAAAAATTGTGATAAAAAAAGACATTTCAAGAAAGTATGCAAATCATCAAAGAACTTTGTCACGCCTGCTGCTTCTAACTTCCATGAACCAAGTTTAGCCTTGATTACTTGCTCTTCTATCAACTCACTCAATTCTATTGTTTATATCTTTATTTCTAGAGCCAAGGTAACAGCTCTACTTGACACTAGAAACTCTGAAACATTTATAAGCAAATCATTATGTGACTCTTAAAAACTTAACATACTCTTTTCTAATAAAAGAGCTTTTATGGCTTATCATGTCAAGTTGTAGGTAAAGTTTTAACTAACTTAACTTTATTTTGTATGGAATACCCTAATACATACTTTTTGGTTATACCCAATGCTTGCCAACAAGTCATACTTAGTAGAAATTTCCTACAGTTGCACAAAAGTCTTAATATCAATTATGGTGGAGAAAAAGATTCTTTGAAAATCTGTTCTCTAACAAGTGTTACAATCAAATTTACTAACACTCTTTTCCCTTTTTGAACTTCCTCCTAGACAATATAACTCAGAGGACAAAGCATTCATAGAACAAGAAACAAAAAAAAATTTTAGAACTAGATTTAACTCAACCCAGTAACTTTCTTGGTGATCACAAATAGTTGTTACCAGGAATGAGACATAAAAAATGCATGGTCATTGATTACTCTCAAATAATAAATCGCTTTACACTACTTGATGCTTATCTCTTACCTAACATCAATGAATTAGTTAACTCTCTTGCAAAATATTCATTATTTAGTACATTTGATTTAAAAAGAGATTATCACCTCACTAATGTTGTCAAACAATTTCAAAGAACCATGGATAAGTTTATTTAAGTAAATAAATTAGAAGACACCTTGTATATCTAGATAACTTGCTAGTATGTGGTACTTCTAAAAATAATCAGGATTTTAATTTAGAAAAATTTCATGCAGCTTTTAAGAAAGCAATGTTTACATTCAGTAAAGAAAAGTCTATATTGTCAACTTCGTTTTTAAACTTCCTAAGTTTTATTACAAAAAGTGGCTCTTTTTTGCCTGATCCAGATCGTATGAGTAGAAAAGTTAAAAATGACAAGATTCTGAGATGGAGGATAGAACTTTCTTTGTACAGCCATGATATAGTTCATCGCCCTGGACATAACAATTTTATTGCTGATGCCCTCTCTAGATCTCGCTGCTCTATAAATAGACTTGATGCCCTCTCTTAAGAAACTACATAAATCTCTTTGTCACCTTTAAATTACCAGAAAGTATCATTTTATAAAATCAAAAAATCTGCCTTTTTTAATTGATGATCTAAAAAAAAACATTTCTTCATATCAAATTGTTCTGAATTAAAACCTAAATACTATGTAAGCAGTTTTAACCACACCTTAATAAAACCTACTCAACCTTTTGAGAGACTAAGCATAGATTTTAAAGGACCTATTCCATTTTTTAACAGTTGTTGATGAGTTTTCAAGATTTCCCTTTGTATTTCCTTGCTGTGATATCTCTACTTCAACCATAGATGTTTACTTCAACTTTTTACTTTATTTGGTATGCTTATATACATTCAGATCGAGGTACTTGCTTTATGTCAACAGAGCTCCGCAATTTTCTTAACTCTCGAGGTGTCAACCTGAATAGAACTACTTCTTATGATCCTCAGGGTAATGGTCAACGCGAAAGATAGATTATTTGAAAAGAAATTGCGCTTGATCTCAAATCATAGAATTTACCTACCATGAGCTGGGAACATGTATTACCTGATTTCTTTCATTCAATGCATTCCTCACTTTGCGCTTTTACGAATGCTACACTTCATGATTGATTATTTGGTTTCAGTCAAAATTCTTCTAATGGACACTCTGTTCCTACATGGTTAACTAATTCGGGTCCTGTATTGCTAAAAAGGCATGTTCGACACAGCAAATATAAACCTCTAATTGAAGAGATTGAGGTTTTAGAGACTAATAGTAAATATTCTCATGTAAGATGATGACCTGATGGATGTGAGAGCATTGTTGCTACAAGACATCTTGAACCAAAGGCTTATATAACCAGTAATAATGACGGAAATAATAACTAAAAAGATATTTCCAATTAACCTGATACAATCCCTTCACCTGAGCCTCTCAATCCTAAAAGATCTCAAAACTTTTCTACTCTAACAAATCCTAATGGAGTTTTTATTGAAGAATTAGTCTTTTGTTGTTCAGGAAAATCTCGGAATCCTCCTAAATATTTAAATGACTATATTTGAACTATTAAAACTTATTTAACTATATTGCTTTATTTAGTATGCTAGAATGTGCTGATTCTTCTTCTCCTTATCCTTGTTGAGTTTCTTTATGTATAAACTTAAAATAACCTGTTTTGTATATTTTAGTTATATAAATAATAACTATTTATATAACCTATTGTTATATAAATAATAAAGCCTTCTATATTGGCATAGAATTAATTATAGACTATTAAATTCATTACACTAAACATACAAAATTTTATTTTCAAAATCTTTTCACAAGTATATGTTTTGAATTGTAACAATTGTAAAAGGCTACTTTAAAAAGCTTCTTTTGTGTGTGACTGTTTTAAAACGCTTTGATTCAAAATGATACATAAAGCATACTAAGAATTTAAAATAATTTTAAATTTGTTCCAAAAAAACCCTTAGATGTTGCAAAATATTATTTCAAAGAATACAAAGTTTTTTGTTAATTGCATTTTTCCAGAATTTTATTTTGTATATATTTATATCCCAGAGTTATATTTTACTCCCAGAGTGATTTAGTGATTTAAAAAAGAAAATGTACAAAAAAGAAAAGCAAATCTTTGGAATAAAGACTTCTTTTTTGTTTTTACAGTAGCAAATAAGTTATCAATTCACATAAATTATCTTTTTTGTTTTTAGAGTAGCAAGTAAGTTATCAATTCACATAAACTATCTTTTTTTGGATTCTTTTGGTCTGTAACATTTTAGCTACAATTCAGCTAGATTTGATTATAGTTTTTCAAAATGTCTTACTTAAAATTTGTTGTAAAAGATGTTGTTGCATCATCTTGAAGAGTTTGAAATGTAATTGTTAATAGAACATTTTGCCCAGTCCCATATAAATAAAAAAAGATACAGAATATAAATGAATTTGCTTATTAAATATCATTAGTGCAAAGCTAATTATTGTAAATCATAAATTTCATTTCATCAACTGTCGTTTATAGAAATAAAAGAAAATGAAACCCTAAGCAGATAAACTGTTATCCTAATATCGAACCATAAGCCATAAGTGGGTAATAAGTATGCACTAAACCATAAGTGGGTGAAAAGTATCCACTGAGCCATGAGTAGAAAAAACTGAGAACTGTCTTTAAAATGATAATAGCAAAAATTAAAAAAAAAACTATACTTTTGAAATAAAGCTCTTGAAGCTGTTAGATAAGGTGTACCAAGCATCGCTCCTTCATCAAATGTCATTTTTTCTGGTAAGTGTGAAGCGTCTTCTTCATTACAAAGACAGTACTCAGCATATGATCCAGTAACACTGCCACAAAACCAAATAGAATCTCCTTTCTGTATATTAAAAATAGACAACTTCAAAACATATAATCTTTTAAAACATATTCGTTTAAAACATATAATCCCCTAAAATACTCATTTCTGATCTGCAAAAGAGGTTAATGTCAGAAAAGAAAAAGGCATCAGGTTGTTAAAGTCTGTTTAAATTGTGAAAATCTTGAAACATGCAAGTGCGAAGCCATGGACATTAAACATAATAAATACATACATACATACATACATACATACATACATACATACATACATATATATATATATATATATATATATATATATATATATATATATATATATATATATATATATATATATATATATATATATATATATATATATATATTCCTAAACAGAAACTTGAAAAGTTTTATCTTTTAAACAAAATAAAACAACTTTATTTTTATTTTTTTACAAATTTTATTTAAGGATTTGAAGATAAAGTAATAAAATTAAATCTGAAAAACTTTTTTATTTAATCATCTGGAAACTAATTCATTATGTCTCTTATTATAAGCAAAAGGAAATAAAAAACTTTTTTTTTCTTATAAAAAGGAAGAAGTGCTGTTGTTTAAGTAAATTACTTTTAGTCTACACTTAGCCCAATGAAAAATGACTAGAATATGTGAGAAATCTGCTGAATGCAAAAATTTTAATAACAAATAGAGACAGGAAACCCAAATAGTCGGCGGGGAACCGAAATTAACAAACTGGTTACTTTAAGTTGCCCTTCAGACAACCAAGCAGTCAAAGCCTACACACCTTTTATATATTCTGGATCTTATTAACATTTTAATGAAAAAATTAGATTTTTTTTTTACATTCGCGTAATGCCGAATATTGCTATGTTTTTTTTCTTATAACAAAACCATGTTTTTATTAATAATTAATTGGATAAACAACAGTATAAATTATGGATACTTGACAAATTTTTATCTCTATATAAAGTTTGCAACTAGAACAAGTAAGTCTAGCCACTAGTGGAACATATTTACCATAAACGACTAAGAGAAAAGTAGTGATTGATTATATTAGATAAAGATTAGATTAAATGACTAAGAGAAAAGTAGTGATTGATTATATTAGATAAAGTTTTAGTGTATTAGTTATACTAATTTGAAAAGATGTTCAGTGTTATAGCAGGTAATTAAGAGAAGAAAGCGGGAACAGTATATTCATCTTAATACTAAATAAAAAACTTTTTTGCTTGCTTTTAATTTATTCTGTTATAAAAAACAACCAAATTCATGACACAAATATACATATTTTGTGATTTTTAGAGTATGCAGCCAGAGAAAAAATTTAAGCAGTATTATGTGGTTTCTTGTTTTATATTTAGTTGCTATATATTTTAAACATAATATGTTTTAATATAGTTGTTGGCTTTATGTTTAGTTTATATTTAGTTTAATTTTATACAGTTTATTAGGATTGTTCCTGCTAAGTTTTGTTTAAATTATTCATGTTTTGTAGAGTAGTGTCTGTTCACATTGTGACTTTTGCACACTGCAATACCCTCTAGACAATAAAATAAAATTATTTGACACAAAATAAAATTATTTTGTTCAAGTACAAAATATTTGGTTGTCCAAGATGTTAAATACACAACTTTTTTGCTTTTCAGTATTATATCTTGATATTTTAGCTGCAGTCATGTTTTAAATGTGCAGTTATTTAAATTAATTAATGTTTTATCCCCAGACAAAATTAAAATAATCAAAAAAGTTTATTTAAAGACTTTCTTTGTTAAAGTAAAACCAAGACAGAGCCAAAACAAAGCTTACAACAAAGTCAAAGCCAAAGATTTTAAAAAACAGCTATAAAAACAGCAAGAAATAAGGCTAAAGATAACTTTACAATAGTGCACACCACAAGTCTTTAGCACTGTGTACTTAAAGACAAAGTAGGTAGTATATTATGTAAGCTATATCTTTTAAGCTATATGCAAGAAAAATTGTATGCTGCTATAGGTGCTGTCTATTGAACATATGTTCTGCAGTGCTGCAGTATTGAACATATGTTCAATACTGCATATCCAAAATATAGATTCCCTCCAGGGATACAGAGTCTGAAATAAAAACTTTTTCTTATTGCAGATCAAGTCACTTTTAGATCTTCTAGAAACCATAGACCAAGCACAAATAGAGATTTAAAGCCAGAGCTTTTTGGGGACGTTTAACCACTTTTTCTTAATTAATTTTTTATGCTGATTTTAAATTACTTAATCTTTTTTTTCATTATAAATATTTGGCCTTCTATTTCAACTTCAATAAAAGTGATTATTTCAACATCCCTGATTCCCTCATTTGCTGATTTGCATTTACTAAATTGTTCTTAAAAGAATTACAAGATAAAACACATAAAAATAAAAAAGTAACATTTTCTGTGCTTTTATCATTATTTCTTAAAAATTATAAAAAAACTTGATTTCACTAAACTTTTGTAAACTAATTTACACAGAAGTGTACATGTCAGTTACACATAGCTTAAATATATCTATCTACAAAAATATTAAATTTAATAACTATTTTGATAAATAACTTTACTTACTTTGAAGTTTTTTACATCACTGCCAATCTGATGTACAACTCCTGCACCATCTTTTCCTGGTATATATGGTAAAATAGGGCTAAGAGGATGGTTACCTTGTCTAATATATGTATCAACAGGATTAACTCCAGCCGCTTTTACATTTACTAGTATCTACAAAAATTTAAATATCAATTAATGTATTTGATGTTCCCAACAAAGAAATCTGATGTGGGCTCTATATATCATTACATGATAGCCACAATCAGTTTAAGGGATGGCGTAAATGTGGGATATGTGTGGCTACAGTTCTTGTACCACCTAGATGGTTGCTACTATGGCTCATTTGTGGCTATAGTAATAATACCAGTGACGTATCCAGAAATTTTTTGGGCATACTGTCTAAAAATCCTATTTACCTTAGAGGACTTTAGAGGACATTTATAACAGAATGACAGCTTCAACTCCAACATCGATTCGTTGCTAATCGCTACTTTTTATTTACTTGCTCTATTCGATTACTAATTATAAATTATAATTAATACTAAATATTAAATTATTACATTAAATTATTAAATTAAAAATATTAAATATTAATAACTAGAAATATAGAGAAGTATGATTTTATAAACAAGCAATAACTACAACGTTTAATAAATAATATTTGTATGACTCTTTTGTATAGACATGATAAGATTTAATACATTTATATAAGCCGTTTTTCATAAGCTGGTTTTTCTAAGCGACATTAATATCGTAACAAATGCTAATATAAAATTGTTTTAAATTGAATTTGGGCTGAAACTTGGGGGCCCATACCGGTATACCTGTATTAAAATCGTCCTGAATACGTCGCTGAATACCATTTAAGTATAATAAATATCATAAATCAGGCTTGGACAAAAATGGCGTGCAATCAAGCGCTATTGTTGACCACGCAAAAGGTTTTATTTTTTGACAACTTGACCACGATTGTTTATATGTTTTGATGATTTAAACATTTCAGAAAAGCGCTGAATGTAGAAATGCTAAGCTAAACTTAAACTAGAAAAAAAGTTTAAAAAAAAAAACTATCAAAAAAAAAATTCGTGACAAAAAAAGAAAAGGAAAAAAATTTTTACAAAAAAGAAATTATATAAGCACTAAAATAAAAAAAATAATTTAACTCGAAGCAAAACTTTTTGTTATGTATTTAATTGAAATAAATGTTATTAAAACTAATTTTTTTAAACGTTTTATTAAAGTTATGCAAAACGCTTTTAAATTAAGTAATAAATTACTTCTAATGATTGTTTAATAAATGATTAAATTTTATCAAATTTATTAAAAGTGTTGTATATAATGTTGTATGTAGTTTTTAATAATTTCAAGCTTTAATTAGTAAGTTTAGTTAAAAAAAAGGTTTAAACTTTTTATAGGGGAAAAAAATAAATAACAAAATGCGCCTGCGATTTAAATATAATAAACCACCACCAAGCAATTTAACTTGAGCATTACAACTTTATTAAAAGCACTTCATGTAATGAATTTAAAAGTTATTATAAAAAATTTAAACTTATTCCTGTCATAATTAAAAAAAAAAACTTTCAAAAAATATAATTTTTGTTTAAAAGATTTTTATTAATATTTTTTATTAATATTAAGTTTTTTGTATAACATTTTTTATTAAATAACACATGCGTTTATGTAAACAATCATTATAATTAATTTTATGGTTTTATCTAAAGCCTCACTAAAAACTTTAGAAAAGATCAACGATTAAAGGTTATTAATAACGTAACACTTTCTTTTATTGCATTTAAATTGTTAAAACATTAAAATTGCCGTGGTCAAATTGTAAAGAAAAAGCAATATTAGCGTAATCAGTTACAGAGTGCGATCGCACGCCATTCCTGTCCAAGCCTGATAAATATATATGGCCCACATATACGCCACCCCATAAATCAAGTGTAGCTGTCTCATTCTAAAATGGAAAGCATCAAATTTTCTTGTGGGTCTGTGCAAAATGCTCAAAAGAGATAAAAACATATTGCAAACTGTTATCAACTATATTTAAATTTTCTTTTAAATTTTATCGAAAGTAATAAATATCTTGATAAAATTGACGATACCCTTAAATTATGTTAAAATTTAAATGACACATTAATTTTAAATAACTTTTTTATTTAAATGTTTCTATTAAAATTTATCTAAAAATCAACAGTTGTTTAAAAAAATAATTATTAGATATAAAAGAAACTTTTTATCTATAAGTCATTATATAGTATCATGTATAATTGTATCATTTATGCTTGTCTTTATTATTAGAGAATTAACTATGATATAATTTTATGTTTATAAATACAATTTAAACTTTAAGAAGTTAAAAACATGAATACCTGAACAAAATATAACTAGTATGTACCTCTATCCTTTATGGGATAGCATATGTGTAGCTTATGTGTGGTTATAACACTTATAGCATTAAAACCACACAGAATCAGAAAAAATGCCACATAATATTCGTATGTAAAAATTTTTATCTGGGCCACATGTAGAAAGTATACATAAGCCATATTATTAGCACTCCCCTTTAGGAGATGGCATTGGTGCAGTCCATTTGTAATTATAATGCTTATATAAAATAAATATATAGGTTTACCTACAGCTACTGTGTTTTCTCAGAATAATGGATAAGTTGGTAAAATACTTGCTCAGCTGTGCAACAAATTATTATATTAATTATAGTTTTCTGGTGGGATAGTTCACCATTTGCTATTAAATAAGATTTTAACTTTTTCTTATAAATAGTTGATTGTTTTCTTCATGGAAGATACTTGGAAGTTCAAAGTTTAGGAACATAGTGAGATAATGCTCGATTACAAAAATGATTACTGCATTTAGTTTCCTTTAATTTAAATTTTCTTTCTGACATTGAGTAGTGAGTTAAATTCAGGCTTGGCTATCATCATATGCCCACGCAAATACTATTTGATTTTGAATACTTGACAATGGCTGGTTTTATGTTTTAAAAATTTGCATTCATTTAAAAAATATGCTGAAAAAATTATCATAACTTAATTATGATGAAAATTAATAAAAAATATTATCATAAAAGAAGCAAATAAATCTTTGTTAAAAAAATGTTGAAAATTTTAACTAAAGTTAAAAAAAAAAAATTAAATTAAAACTTAAATAAAATAACAAAGGACCCAAAAACAAGAAAAAGCGGAGTTGATATAAATGGAGAAGAAATCAGAGTTTTGATGTTTTGTTATAAAATAAAAAATTAAACTATCAATTAAACTATAAAATGACTAACTATGAAATTAAACTATAAAATTGTTCTTCTATTTTTTTTATTTAAATATTATATATTTTAGTTTATGGTTTATAATAAATTTAAAAAAATATATATACAAGCTTCGGCGGGAACAAATGAGCACGAGAGCAGAGAAAAGCTCTCTTAAAACAAACTTGGGGAGCTGTGCAAACAGTTCCTCATATAAATTGGCGCTCTTTTTAACTATAATTTTTTTTTGCAACAACGGTGCTTTTTAAAAAGCATTGGAGTATATTATGCAATTAGTTTTTTTATAAATGACATTGTGTTTTTTATTTTAATAACAACGATAATTATACTTTCGTGAGAAAAGTTATACTTTTGCTAGAGCCGTAAATTGCTCCCGTAAACCATTTAATGGGAGTGTGGGCGAACGGGTGCCGAGGCCTGTATATATATTTCTATTTCTTAGCATTAAGTATTTTTTTAATCACAATTCTTTCTGATCAGTGAAGATCTTGATTTTTTTGACTTTTTAGCTGTTGACTGATTTTAATTCAGAGCTTCTTGAATTTCGGCAAAAAAAAAAGGATGTTGATTGTGGTGGTTCTCCTTGTTTGCCTTAAGCGCAATCATCTAATTTTGCTCGGAGACTATTTTCTTTTGTTGCAAAAATTTGACCAAATAAATTTCCAGAAGAAACTTGATATCTTATTTTGAAGCGTTAAAAAGTGTGTAGTTTTTATTTAAAAAAAAATTGGATACCAACAAAATTTTTTTACGATTTTTGTAACTGGGGAAAAACACCTCTGCAAATTTATAATTGATATCAGTTTCTACAATCTTCAATTTACTAACTAACATTTTTATAACAATGTCGCACTCCAAAACCGTTGTATTTTGTTTCTCCAAGCAAACTGCAGCAGCAGCAATGGCTTACAATAAATTAGACAGCGATTTCAAAGTCAATGACATTTAAAATGTTTAGGCAGTTAAGTTCCTCGGGTATCTTTTTTTTACAACTTCTAAGCCGTAAAACAATACATCTATATATATTTTTACCAAAAATATTTACATCATCTCAAAAACACTATTCCATTTAATGCGGTTGTCGAGCAATAGTCCTTTGTTATGCAAAGATCCGTAAATTTTGTGTATGTTTCTTTTAGAAATATCATATCAATACAATTTCAAGAACTTAATTAGTATTCAAAGTCTCTTTAGTATTTTTTTTGATATTTTCTTCATATTCAATCGTTTCTACTAAATAATTTATAAGCAACTCTCCTTCAGTCTCACCATCAGTTTCCGTTTCTGCTTCATTATCCGATTCAGTTTCTTTGCAGCACACAATTTTGTGAGGCTGCAAAGAAACTGAATCGGATAACTTTTTTTTTAGCGTATATCAAATAAATTTAAAAAAATGAAATAAATTGGAAAATCTGATGCGGAAACATAATTATGGTACCCAATTTCAGCATCCATCTACAGCCATTCCTAGTTTCAATTGCATTATCTTCGCTATCTATATAAGCCAAAGTCTTTTTAACTTCAAACATCTTAACAACATCTTGACAATATTTGAACATCTTAACAAATATTCGAATGTTTCAGCAGAGCAAATTATGTATTGCTTAAGAAAGGTGAAATTTTCATCTTTGTGATGGCAATTTCACCTTTCTTAAACAATGCGTGAAGTCATGGTGAACATTTAAATATAATTTAAATATTCACTGTGACTTCACGCATTGCCTAAGAAAGGTGAAATTCTGCCTTTTCTACGTATTGTCTACCTCTATTGCTACACCATTTGTTACATGTTAATCCTCATATATATTTTTTAAATTCATTTAAATTAAATAATTTAGCTCTGACTTTGTTATATTAATGTTTAATAACACTTAATGTTTAGATAAATTAACTTAATACTATTATTTTTTTTGTTTTTAAAATTAAATTTTAATATAAAGTTAATTTTATATTAAAATTTAATAAAAAATTAACTTTATATTAAAGTCTGCAAAAAACTTTAAGTTATAAAGTTCTTTGCCAACTGTGACGCCACATTAGGTTGTTATTGAAAAAAAATCATCTAAAGAAAACACTTTCATTTTCAAAACAACAACTTAGAATTATTGTAAAAGCAATGTATATAAAAAAAAAGAATTTTATTATTTTAACAGTAAAAAAATTATATTTTTCAAAGACTTTGTCGAAGTTCTGTCATAATTTCTTCATTTTTTTTGAACTCCCAAAAACACTGAAAAATTCGACAAGGAGTTCCGAACGAATCCTTTGAAAATAAATAATAAACTTTAACTATAGGATTATTTAAATTACATTTGGAATAAATAACTTTAAATTGTTTATCTTTAATAATGTATTTATAATATAATATTATGCGAAACCCTTTTTAAATAAAGTAACAAACTATATCTAACCATTGTTTAATAAATGCGCAAATTTAAAAGTTAAAAAAAAATTCTTAACAATTCTTCGCAGTAATGTAAATAAATGAAAAAATAATTAAATCGTTTAGTTAAAAAGTTGATAAAATATTTATTTTAACGTGGTTTTCATAAATTTAGATGCACTCATATTTGAGAATACAAATTTTTAGTTTTTAAACGATAAAACAATAACGAAAAAAGATTTCGATTTAGTTTTCTTTCTACTTATTAGATAAATAAATACAGAATACAAAATTTACAAAAAAAAATACAAATACTAAGTAATATTTAGGTACAACTACATGGTAATAAAAAATAAAGCAAAAAAAATAATTCATTAATTTAGATGCACGATACATTAGGAGGCGTAACTTATGAACCAATCAATATTTTATGTATCCGCTTTTTGCTTAATGCAACTAAGAACTCTTCTAGGCATAGAATCAACAAGATTTTTGTACATCGCTTCTGGGACCCTATACCAGGTCTCCTTAAGGACGTCCTTCTGCCGGCCAAGTGTGGAAATTTGAACCTTTGCCAATTCACGGTCAATCCAAGCCCAAATGTTTTCAATTGGGTTCAAATCAGGTGAGTATGGAGGCCACGGTATTGTCTTGATATTGTTATGGTTGAACCACTCCTTGTATATTATGTGCAGTAGCGCCATCTTGTTGAAGTTTCTATGGTTTATCATTGAGCATAAGCAGGTCAATTGATGGAATTAGGTTGTTATCCAGTACTTCTACGTATGTTCTGGAGTTGATTCTTACAGTGTATGTTTAGCACATACCATCACTATTGTAATTGAAGCATGACCAGATTCCTATCAAGCCTCCACCATTTTGTACAGTCGGTCTAATGTACTGGGTGTAATACTTTTTGTGAGCCATTCTTTTGACTGTTATGTTAGATTTGCGATTGATAAACTTAAAGTTACTTTCATCACTCCACATGTTTTTCCATTGTTCTATTGTCGAATACCTTTTTTCACTACACCATTTAAGTCTCCTTTGTTTATCATATAGATGCAGGAGCGGTTTCTTCAAAACAGAGTAGACTCTAATCTTGTATTTGATAAGTATTCGACAGACAGTGCTTTGAGAAATAGATGTATTTCGCTTTGTGTTGAATTCTGTGGTCAATTCTTTATAACTAATTCTTGAATTAGCTTTGGCAGCTCTAAAAAGGACACTATCGTCCTTTTTGGTGGTTGACAAGGATCTACCTGGCCTTGTTTTCTTGCTGGCAACACCAGTGTGAAGAAAGTTTAGCTTCATTGTCCGAATGCATTTCTCAGAAACTCCAATTAACCTGGCAATTTCTCTATTACTTTTGATTCCTTGTTTGATGTGAGCAATAATTTGCCATTTGCCAATGGCTTTCAAAAAAGTTTGTCTTTTTTTTTTCTTCTCAACAAAATCTTTCTTCTTTTCAAGTAATTTAACTCTAATATAAAGTTACTTAAGAGACCATTTATTAATTCTAGTATAAAGTTTCTTAAGAGACCATCGCTGTTTAATGTTGTTGTTTACAAAATTTAAATTTTTTTATTTATAAACTTTATTTTTTTTATTTTAATTATAAAAATTTTTTTATATAATTAAATGATATAAATAAAAATTTATACAACTTTTAAAGATAAACGTGTTGAAGTAATTTATTTTCAATGTAATTAAAAATTACTGCATTTGTTAAAAAACGTAGTCAAATCATCAAAAAAGAATATTATTTGCGTTGTTATATATAGACTTGAAATTTTCAGCCAATGCGAATTGCTAAACTCCGCTGCACATATTTGAAATTTTTTTTTTTCATTTTCGTTTTATTTCAGTTTTTACTTGACCTCCCCAAGGCCATGATGAGGAAATTTTGTTCATTATAATGTAGCAGTTTTTAACAATCTTATTTATTTGTGTTTTTCAAGATAAATCATCAAGTATCACACCTAAACTTTTTGCAGAGCCAAAAAAGCTAGAGTTTTAGAGTTTGATGATCATCTGATATTCAAAAAATTTAACATTGATTATTTTCAGATATTTGTATAGTGGTCTCGTTTGATTAAAGAGTTTTGGACCCAGTATTGTATGCAAGGTACAGCCCTGGGTCTAAAGCTCTTTAGTGACTATATGAAATCACTACACAATTATTTGTCAGAGGCATCTATATTCTTTTTAGTCACTTTCATTTTTTGTACTGTTTTTAAATTCCTGTATAGTATAACTTTTTATTTATTTCTTGTGCTACTTTAAAATAATAATCTTTTTTTTTTGTTAACTCACCTAACAAAGGCCAAGAAAAGCACAACAGACGAGAAATCTACTTAATTTTGGTTATAACCTTCTCTCAACTCTATAACTCCAAAACACAAACCTAAATGAACAAGGCTGCTACATGGAGAAGAACGGAGTGGTACTACCAGGGATGTGGTGGCAATCAAACTCAGAACCTCTTGCTCTACTACTAAACCACTACCCACAAATAAAAAATGGTCACTCTAACTCTATAACAGCACAATTACTGATATTTCATCTAGCTTATTTATAACTAAATCTACTATGTTTCTTTGTTTGTTGGTTCTTTGATTTTTTGTGTAATATCTAGTGCAACTAGTGTTTCTTTAAGGCTTTTGCTATATAATTCTGTAGTATCTAAGTGTATATTTATATCACCAGCTATAACATGTGCGTAACCTGTTGATTATATTGTTTCAAGTAAATCAATGAATTTGTCCAGAAATGTTGTGTTAAAGTTAAATATTAGTCTATAAATGTAAATTAAAATTAGTGATCGTTTGACTTTACAGTAATTTTAACACAAAAATTTTCAACGTAGTGAAACTGTTTATTTGGTAGTTGTTTGTGATTAATTGATTGTTTAAATAATTCCTAGCTGCAACCTTTCTCTTTATCTCTTTCTTTTCTTATTTTGTGATGCAAAACATATCTAAAATATTTTTTTAACTTCTTTTGTACTTGTTCTTTTTTTAACTTCTTTTGTTTTCAGAAGTCATCCATGTTTTGGTAATAAAAAATGTCTGGATTCTAGTTTATTACTGATTCAAGTATATGCTCAGGAAGGTTATTAGTAAGAGAGAGAACAGTTCATAGTGAGCATAATATATAATTTATCTAAGCTTTATCATCCTTCTCAAAACCACACTAAAAAAGAACGATCCCACACCATATTTTTACAGGAAAGTTTCATGAGGGCTAGTGTGAGGAAAAATATATAAACAGGTCTAATGACCTAATGATCACCATAACCTGATGAATTATGTAATAAAACTGTCCTCTTTACCGCTTTATCTATTAATAATGCCACCGAACAGTAGTTAAAAATAATTTCCAAATACATTGCCAGCTTCTTGAGAATCTTTTCCCTGCTCTACTTTATGATGTTTTCTTGCAGCAAACACAATGTATTATTTATTTTTTTCAATTTTAAATAAAATTTTAGTATTTACCAATCAAGGCTAAAATTTATATTGAATAACAACTCACAAAAAAATTGCAAAATCCGCCTATAAGTAATGTAATATTTGATCTTTTAAAAACATGCCCTCAAATATATTGTAGCTAATTCACAGCACTCAAGTTATACAAGTCAACTATTAGGCCACACCTTGAGTATACAGCAAGTTATGCTTTAAAAATAGTGATAAACTGGAAAATGTATAACGCAAATCAACTAGGATCGAAGCATGTGTTATTAAATCAATTAGATTATTAGGCAATAATTCGAGATGTTAATATAACAAACACTTTATCGAATAAATTTTTCTAAATTTGAATTTATAGATAAAAAAAAAATAATAATAAAGTATTTTACCTGTTTACTTAAAGGCACAGGTATTGGTAAATTGTGAACAAGTTTTAAAACATTTGGCCCACCAAATTCCGATACGTTAATACCACGCATACTGATAAGTCTGTCTCAGGAAATTATGCTGCCGAAACATAATTTCCAAGAAAAATAACGCAATATCTTTTAAGTTTGATAAACCGATCTTAGAATTGATGAATTTTTGTTAATAATTACCCAATCAAAGTTTTAAAAACGTCATCAAGTTTAGGAAAAGATTGACCACCTGCATTGAAATTAATGTCTGGAAGAGGTGATAGAGTTTGCTTTTTTAAAGTTGCGAAGTTTCTCCAAAAAGAATATACGGTCGTATTTTTAAAATTCAAACTATAAAAACATTAAAAAACAATAGTGTTTTCATAGATTGAATTATTCTGCTGTTGTTTTTATTATAATTACTATATTTGATTGAAGGATTTGTTTTGCTTTTAAAAGAGATTCAATTTCTGGAACTAATACACTGAATGAAATATGTAATTTTCTACAAACAATTACTTGTTATTACATAATAACTTACTTATTATTTCATAACTTATTGTGGTTGTGATTCATAACTTATTGTGATTCATAACTTATTGTAATTTCATAAATTATTGTGATGTAATAGTTGTTAAAATAATATTTTTTTCACGGACATTATAGAAATATTGACAAATCTATAAATTCGTGTGGCGTTACGTGTTGTAGCGTATTAATAAACAAAATTTCAGGGCTTTTTTGAATAACATCTTTGTTTGACTTAAGGAGAAAGATACAAGTCTATACAACTTCCGACATCCCTGATCTGTTTCTATTTCATCTTCAGCAGAAATACCTATGTTATTTATGTTATGATACCTATGTTATGTTATTAATGATTTGACCGTCCCATGAAATGAAACTTCCAAAATTGCTTTCATACTAAAAACTTTAAAAAAAAATTTCAAAGCTGATGAGTTTAGTTTCCAGTGCCTCCCAAATAAAAAGTGCTATTATAATTGTTTTGGGGTAAAATATTGTAAATTCAAACTAGATATAATGTTAACATTTTCTTTTATTGATATGAAATGCAATAAAATTATAATTCTTGATAATCAGAAAATTCGAACACCCCCTCCCCCCCAATAATTTAAGCATATGATACAACTTCTTTGCACTTATCAGAATGAGCTAAAAAGTGGGATAACCGAAGAGTTTTATTGTATTCGGTAAAGAAGTTTGCCTTTTCTTTTCTTGCTCAGAATAGAAAAAAAGTACTCTTGGTGGGTTGTAGCTTGGTAGAAAACTGTTTTGCCTAACCACTAGTCGAAGAGCTGAGCAACACCAACTTTGTATTTCATCTCCTAATTTCGAGATTAACTATTGCTCAAAATATTTACTTTTCAGAACAATTTTGAGATAAAAATCTCAAAATTGTTCTGAAAAGTAAATATTTTGAGCAATAATTTTTAGATTAGCTATCTTTTGGGGTTAGCAGACGATCCCATGACAAATTCTTCATTGATTTAAACTGCAGTGTATTAACCACCTGTTCACCAGATGTTGATGCTGAAATTGTTGATCAAATTTTAGATCTTAATTTTGAAAATGATGTCAATAAAGTTGAGGATAACGTTGACGAAGATATATAAAATGAAGCCCTGCCACGTCATCTAATTTTTAATATAAGATACTTTTAAAACGCTTTAAAATGCAGCACAAATTACGATAATGAAATACGATCTCTAGAACTGAAACCTCAACATCAAAATAATAAAGACAAATTGTTTAATGCAACGCCAGGTAACTTTTTTTTTTCAAAAAAGTTACCTGACATAAAAAAAGTAACCATTTATTTCAAAAAGTTGTTTTTGAAATAAACGGTTATTGAAATACGGTTGCTCAAAATTTGAGCAACCGTAGCACTTTAGTAGCGCGCTTACCTTGGAAACGCAAGATCCATGGTTCAAACCCCACATCTGGGAAAGTTTTGTAACATCAACAATTCAAGATAAAACCGGTACAATTAAAAGAACAAAACAACGGAATTGAATGATTTTTAGTTTTTAGTTTTAGTATTTAAGCTTATAATTAAAAATTACAATTTAAGCTTGTTTTTGTAAGACGCAGTTTTTTTAGCTTCTATTAAATCAGTCTTTGCAAGACAGAATTTTATTTTTTTTAAAGCAAATTCTATTTAGTACTCAGTTCCTTTTTTAACTTTTAAATATAATTTTTTATTATGAAAGCTTTCCAGGAATTGCATGTTTTGTAGCCTTTTTGTGGTTTATTTTTTAGCAAAAATATTAAGCTTAGACACTTATCTGACGGCCAATTATCTGACGCCTAATTACCTGACACCCGATTAAAATATGCTTTTAAACTACTTAAAAACTATAAATATTGTAAGTAGAAGCATTTACTCTATAGTTCTAACCAGGGATGCAAAGTTGGAGTCTGGAGTCCAGGAGTTCCTGCTTTTACCTGGAGTCCGGAGTCCCGCCCGTCCTTGTAATTTTTGGGACTCCGTGACTCTGGCTTTTTTAAAATTTATATCAGCATATATACTTTTCCTAAAAAACCGTTATTAACTTCTCAAGTTTATCATTTAAAATTTTTTAGTCAACAGTTCCGTAACTTTAAACCAATAAAAGCTCGACCGCACTGAATTGCGCTGCTTACAGCAAGCCCTGTGACATTAATTAGTATTGTTATTATTTTAATTTTGTCATTTAGAGGTCCCAAGAAGACATAGTGGTCATGTTAAATAGCACCGCGGAAGTGCATTTAACTTGGACACTAACAGTTCACACCTCTTTCCTTTGACATTAACAGTTCACACCTCTTTCCTTACCGTGACGCGAAAATATGTTCAAAGTTCGTTTCGAACCTAGATCTCCTGCTACTAAAGCAAGCGCTCTAACCACTGCGCCACAGTCACCTATTATTTCTAAGTTTGCAGCGTTTTTATGGCATACATCGTCTATAGCATGCATTGATTTTACAGAATATAAGAGTTAGGCGAATTACAGCACATGCGGTGTACCACCCTTTTGGTGTACACTGATTGCTAGAAACCGAATTATGCATAAGCAATCATTTTTACTAGACACCTGCGTCTTCTCGTATACTTTTGGAAGTTCGGCTAGTCACGGTGGAAAACGATAGTTTTCGTTTCGTGCCGATTTTACTAAACAAAAATATATCATACCGTTTTGAATCGTATTTTTACAAAACAAGTAAAGCTTGTTTCGTTTCGTACAGTATTTTTACGAAACAAGAAAACTGTGTTTCGTTTTGTATTGATTTTTACGAAACGTTTCATATTTCCCCCGCTTCAAACAAATATTTTCCAAATCCCACAATCCGAGCAATACATGAACTATAACATTCAAGCAAAACTAAAGCATTAAATTCTCTCTAACTTAATGTTTTGTAAATGAAAGTTTAACTAAAAAGTTAAACTTTATTTCGTTTGGTAACGGTTATTTCGTACTTTATTTAGTATAATCTTATTTCGTTTCGTACCGGTTTTAATAAAACAAAAATTATTGTTTCGATTTGTACCGTATTTTTTCCGAAACAAAAAAATTTTGTTTCGTTTTGTACCGTTTTTTGCGAAATTGTATAAAAATTGTTATGTATTGTACCGGTTTTATCGAAATAATATTTTTTATCGTTTCGCCTTGTTTTGTCTTGTACCGTTGAGAGATGCAGATGCTTAATTTCTACACTCTCAAACCAGCTCGTACTACACACGCGTATACGTGTTAGAGTCTTTTACGCGCACAAAGAATGACTTAATTCAAAAAAATTAAATTCTTCAAACCAGAACATTGACTAATTAAAAAGAAAAATTGAATTCAAAAAATATTTTAATATTATAACAATATTAACAAATATTAAATACAAAATAAATATTTATCTTATCTAATTTTTCTTTCATGAAAACAAAAAAAAAAAACCTACACTGTTAAAAAATTCGCCGTAGAATCTACGGAGATTGTCCGGCAACAAAGTGACAGCACTTTCTCCGTGAAAATTAACGGTTTCCGTTTTTTTTATTTTCCGTATAAATCAACGGAAAAAGTTACAGAACTTGGTCCGTAAAATTATATATATGATAACAAATAATATTTTATTATAAAAAATTATACTATATTATAAAAGTTGTTACATATATTACGTTATAATAGTTATAATAAACATAAACAAAACGTCTTTTGATCTATTGATGCTCTGTCCACTCAAGCGCTAGTTCGTTTACGAAACTCGAAACTTTAAGGTAAGGTCTGACTGCTTTTTTACCAGATTTTCTTTTCAATATTATTTTATTTTTCACGATTCATTTTTGCGATACATCTAAATAATAATAATTAGGTCAGAATAATAAATCATTATTTACAGTAAAAAAATAAAAAAAGAAAAGAAAGTAATGTTGAAAATTTGTATGTAGAGTGAGCATGTAAAGAAGAAAGTATAGGTCAGAAGTAGATAAAGTTAAAGAATACATTGCAGATAATATGAAAAGCTATGGATTTTTATAGATTTTTTATAAACAAGTATGAAAGTATATTATCACAAATGACCCTTATCATTGTACTTTCATGTTTTTCGTGGCAAAAGAGGAGCATTCTTGTAAAGTAAACCCATGATTTCAGCCGGCAGCTTTTCCAGGGAACTTTGAAAATACCTATATAATTGTCTAGCATAGCAATTGAAGATTTAGATGCAGGTACATTTAATATTCAAGGTTGGGTTAAAACTGAAACTAAGGCATGAATCTAAGAAAAAATTTCAATAGTAGTATTTCATTTTAGTTACAGTCAAATTTAATCAATGTATCTAAATTTAATAAGTAATTAAATAATAGTTTAACAATTTTTAACATCAAAATTTCGATTCTATAGACAACTTTGTCAAAAACAACAATTTTAAATAATTTAAATATAGATTTTTTTAGGCTGCACTACAAAAAAGTAAATATAAAAATACATCTAACATACTATTTTATTTAATACATACCTGCTTTCCATGCGTTTATCCTCTATGTGGTTTATCCTCCTCCAAAAAACTGCCTTATATAGAGGCTGCATACCTAGGCCCATAAAAACCAGTTCAGCTCATTAAATAGCATCATAACCCCTTTGCAGACCAAAGGTAAGTAATTTTCAGAAGTATGAAGAATGTT